AATTGATGACTATATATGATATATGCAAATTAGATGTTGAAAATTATTTTCCCAATAAACTATGAATCATGCCAAATAACCGTTTTCATTACAGCAATGGTTCATCTCTACTCCTTGAGTAGCTGCAGGCTCCTAAAAAGTATGCATTATGCTTTTTAGTAATTTACAAGAAAAATTTTCGCGCCTTAAGTGTTAAACCATCGGGATGTGAAATAGATTTTGTTGTTGCGTTCTCGAGTCCGCCTAGAAGGTATGGTGAACTACATTCTCCATTTTCGCTCCTTTCGTTCTGCAACATTTTCTTTTATACCACCGGTTTCAATGGATCAAGTCTACACGGTGTTCATTTTGCCGCCCGTTCGTGGAGTTCGGCTAGGCCAAAAGGCTCACCGAGTTGCATGTCAGTAAAGAAACCCATAATCGTATAAGACCATGCATTAAAAAGAAGGCGAACAGCTGAGTGATTGTTAGTCGCCCCACAGCAATATCATGACAAGATGTTACCTCGAGATAAGATGCGAGACATGTGAAGTCATCTCGAGATGACTTCCACATGTTTGCAGTGGAGCGCCGGCAGTGAAACTCCCCGACGATGCAATATCCGATTCCGAAACGCTTTCAAGTCATAAAGTCCATGGCGGAAATTGCGCGAGGGAATAAAGAAGATTGTTCGGAGCAATTTTTTCTGGCGGCGTTGCACGATGCAGCATTTACTGCGTAACATATCATTTTGAACACATGCATCGCGATCGGAGTCGCCTGTCCTTCCACAGCTTCACTATTCTTTCCTTGTCATATTCCAATATTTATCCCTGCAGACCCTTCATTACTCCTTCGTCAGAATCAACTTGGATGTGCTTCAAGTCTAGGAATTGGTTCCCAAATCTAGAATTTGGAGTTGGTAGTTGTATTTCCAAACTCTTAAAAGTTTTCTTCTTTTGAAAAAAAAAAGAAATTCATCAGAATCTGATTCAGGCGCAGGTATGGGAGCAAATACAGAAGAAGGGGCTGCATATACGTTTATATGATGGATCAGCTATTTCCAGAAACCAGGGCCCATGTCCAATGTTTAGGCCATGTATTGATGCCAGAACATTTCTAATCCATCGAGTTCGAGTTCGCAGGAACATGCTAGACTCTTAGATGTGAATTACTTCTTCGAGAGTGCTTGTCGAAAACCTTTATATATTTGCAATTAAACAGTTTTCGCTTTCTAGTTATGCTGCAGTAGGACACCCTCACGGAAAGATCCTATCAGATCCAATTAGATATTTAAAACATAAAAACCTTTTAGGATTCTTGAAGAATGCTATAGTATTTATTAAAGGGTTCTCATAGGATTCTACAGAAATCCGATAGGAAGCCTATGAGATTTTTGTTTCACAAATCGTATTGGGTCGTATATAGGATTTTTCCTTTAGGGCAGCGACATCGTCTGGAAACGAAGCCAATACATGTGGATTCGCAGAGTATGAAACTTTCTTGGCTCAGTTTTCCATGTGCTTTATTGAGATAGGAGTGAGAACCCCATGAACGGCGAGGGACGACTGGCATTGACATCCTCTCAATTCTCTGCGTCTTCAGTCTTCCTTTTAGGAGTGCAGATATTGGTTCAAGGACTTTCTTTCAAAGACCTTATCTTCGGAAATATATATTTTCTAGAATGCAGATTCTAATATTCCAGAAGTGTTTCTCGACCTCGAGTGAGATCATTTCATGTTCAGTGAACACATGAATCCACTGAACCTCTGTCCACATGTGGTGAGGAAAGGAAATATCGTTCTTGAAATGGTAATTTTGCGTTTTTACTCGTTACATTCCCTGTGCAGGACTGATCCAAGACCGACCACGACATCATTTGGTGTTCTATTCAGCTGCTAAGATGAGACGCATAAAGTTAATCAATTATTAAATAAACTAGCCCATACTGCAATATGTACAAAGAGTGGGATCGATCAATCTTGAATTCACAGAAATAACGAGGAAAGGAAGAAGAATAAGGACGCGGTCGATTTGATGTGCGTACATGGTCAGAGTGTGTAGGTGGCTCATCCACCGGCCCAAAAGGACCAAAAATTAAAGAAGGAAAACCCATCAATCGACTTTCCTTGAATATCCATTAAAACAGCCTATGTGAAATAAATAGGAATCAATATTTTTCAGTCACGATGGACGAACTGACTACAACATAATCAATCTGTAGGTGAAACAGTCGCCTTCCATCCAAGTAATGAACAAAAAAACTATATTTATATCTTCATATGAAATAGTATATCTTCTCCCGATAAAAATGAAGTTATTTATGGATGCATATAGACTGCACTACTGTTGCTAATAACCCCCTCTTCCAGAAGTTTTCTAACCATAAGCAGAAATTTCAAAAAGCGCAGAAATGTCTCATTCTTGACATGTGGAGGAGTATCGGAGCAATCTACAGATCATGTTTTCTAAAGCCTACTTAATGAACTGCAATACTGTCAGGATTTCATTTGTGACGCATGACCTGAGAATTCCAATTTCGCGATTTCGCATCGAAGGGCCCCGCATTTTCCCGCGCCGGGACTGATGCATGAAACATCCGTTCGAGGAGCTGAAAATTGTCAGGAATTCAAAAGACTTTTCTTCAAGATGTCTAATTCAAACCAGAGGTTAAACATATAGCGTGTGCGATTCTGGGCCGTTAGCTAGGCCGAGCGACAATTCATTCTTTTTTTGTTTGTTTGTGTGTCTGTGTGTGTGTGTAACAGCTCTACAGGCTAAACGCTTAGAGATATGAACTTGGGGTTTCGACAGTTTAGATCTGATTACTAATTGAATCGCTCTTACTGCTAATTGAAAAATTTCCCTGAGGGAAAGACATCCGAAGTGGACCACATGTCGAATGGTACATGTGATAAATCAATCGCAAGCACTTGGCGAGTAAATTGCATTGGAACATATTTTATCTGCGAGAGATGAGAAAAGAAGTAGTCATTTTAATGTGAAAAAGTTGTGGTGATAGGATTGGCAAGCATGAAATCGCGCACGTTCACCATGGGGTAGCCACGTTGAACGGAGGGGGAGAGAGGCATTCAGGAGGTCCCGGTTCAAACTGACCCATCATTTCCCAAAACAGGTTGACTTTGGACTTGACCGAACTGGAGGGAAAAAAAATTGAGGTCTGCTAACAGTGCCGGTGTGATGAAGGGCCTCACCAGAATAACGAAGACGAGACCAGAAGAGCGTAAGAAAACCTGACATGAGTACAATTCCCACGAAAGGAAGGACATGTCCACGGAAGGACATAGCGTAGCCTGCAGACGCAAGAGCAGGGATGTTCGGCGCCCGGGCAGGGCGCCGAACATCCCAGCTCTCGAATGCCCAAGTAAAACGTAACCATTAGGCCGGCCGCACACCTGTGAAACATTTTCGTGAAGCATGCATCATACACGTTTGATACGCGCTTCATCGGAAGGAACACACTGCTAACGGTTGGACGCTGCACACAGGTGAAGCATGGTTCAACCTGTTAGATGCACGTATGATGCAAGCTTCTTAGGATAGCGCTTGCTCCATCTCTGTATATGCTTCGACGCCGTTTCATCGGTTGAGCTCGCAAGTTTGCCAAGGAAAGATCTATCCAAAGTCAAGAGGAAGAAGGAAGAAGTCCAGAAAAATATAAAATCGGTGCAGCGTATCGTGAAGTACGCAACGATCTACGATCCCACTATTCGCGACCGTGCTAAAAGGGGGAACGTGGTAAAAGAATAGGCCGAACGAGTACTCTCGCATGTTGCCGATCGAATTCACCATATGGCTTCGGGAAATATCGAGATGTTGCGTCACGGACTGCCACAGCATATGTGCTAGGTCTACAAGTAGATTTACTCATCTGGCCGATCAGATCATCCTGAAGCTGGAAGGTTTCATCTTCGTCGCAATTCTCAAGGCTTGTGGGTGGGTCAGCGGTTGTCAGGAAGAATACTCAGGGTCTCTTCCCGCACGCCCTAATCCTAAAAATTGGATATATCCTGATGCGTGTACGGAATCGCATGATTTGGAACGACCTTTATAACGACACGCCTATGATGGTGGGAGACCTGACTGCAAATGTCTTAATACTAGGGGAGTTCAAATGAAAAAAAGGCAATGGCTGTTACTCTTAGTCTAAGAGAGGGGACTAAAAGTCTCCATTTAATTCGAACACCCATAGTAGTTGAGGTGATGACGGGTGCGCCGAGTGGCTGCGTTCACTTGCTGCCTGGAGTTTTACTGGACACGTCAACCCAAGTCACCATACCGTTCCCTCTTTGCCCACGTCAATTCCCTATCGAGCTTACCTACGGTACGACTATAAACAAATTTCAGGAACAGACATTTGATCAAGTCGGATTACTACTTACGGAGCCAGTATCCATGCATGGCATTTCTACGTTGCCTGCTCGAGAGTTCGGTCAGAGTATTCGTAGAAGATTCATGTTATCGATGGACCAAAGCAGGGGAAAACTGATGCTGGCACCGCTACCGACGGTGTGGTCCTTGAAGAAGCACTTCTTTTGTTTGTCAAGTCCGCTCGTCAGGACTATTTTTGTTCATTATATGAACTTTCCGCTTCGTTCCCACGTGTGTCCTGCTTCCTGATATTTCATGGTTCCTTCCATTTTTATTTACTTTAATCATGTTGAACTAATTTTGATTGTAATTTTCGCATAGTGGCAGATGTAACACGCTGTGCCTCAGCATATCTTTCGTGCATATATGCTCCATCATGAACTGTGTATCAAAGTTTGGCAGCGGGAACCAGACTGAGACTATTCGTAGTTCATGAGCTGTGACAAAAAAGTATTTGTACGGGTAGAAGGCCGCTAGTTACTATTATTATTATTATTATCCCTCCAAGTTAGTACTTGCAGGATTCACATAATTGCCGTCCTCTTTGGCATGTGACTCAGGCCATGCAATACAGCACACATGGAAGAATCATATCCATCATTTATAGCAAACAATGAGGAATTTGACATGAGTCATAGGTTATCACAGTTTAATGACTAGGTTTTGGTGGGATATAAGACCGTCCTTGCAAGAGGGGGCAGATGAGGTCGAGGAAGTCTTGTGGCTTGTCAGAGTGGACCCAATGGCCAGCACCTTCCACGTAATGGAATTCTGCATTCGGGAAAAGCTCTCGGATCCCCTCGTGGTCCTCCCTCCTGAAAGTGGTGAGTGAGAAACACGTGGCTCTCAAGTTGTTTCACTTAATCATGAAACAAGGAGAGGTGAATGCAGCAAACATCTTGCAGCAAACATCTTTGCAGCCTTCCAAAATCAATTAGTACAAAACAGTGTGAAAAAATGCGAGATTATGCAGCAAAAAGTAGGTAAACAACAAGGCAAAAATGAAAAGAAATAGGGCAAGAAAGGCAAATTTTGCCATTCTTGAGAAGCAGTTATTGTCCAGGTCACACATTTTCTCTCATTTGGCAACAACGACCAGACTCTGCAAAGGCATCAAGTCTCAAATTCATAGACATGATAGTCAGTGAAGAAAACTAGCTGGATTGGTGTTTCCATACTTATTTAGGAGAGGGCATTCTCACAAGCTTTTCAACTCAGTTCTGATAATTCTTACAAAATTAAAAAATCAATCACAGAAGTGAGCTACAACTAGCAACTGCAATGGAGGACATCATACACTCAACTGAATACAGCAGTGTACAACCATTTGGCCAGTGTGCCTACTCAAAAGGATCTGATGCATCATTGGTCAAAGCTGCAATATGGACATAATGATTTGAACAGGCTGAAACAAAGGAATTAACACTTCAGACCCATAGCCATAGTGCATTCCCATCCATGGGTCTGAAGACTAGCCTTTCTTACAAGTTATACAGCTAAGCCAAGGAGGGGCAGAAGAAAGCAGTTACACTGACTTTCTTGCTTAAATAAGATCTCCTGGCTACAAAGAAAAGGCAGTACCTCTATTATGAGAAAAAGGTTACATTAAGATTGATTTGGTCCAAACTAACAGGTCCTACCTACATTCCAACTCATAAACAAAATCAACCTTGAGAAAAAGAAAGATTCACCTGAGGTAGTCTGAGTTGGTCCCACCAATGAAATAAGTGGGCCCATCAAATGTAGAAGTGAACTTAGGGAAGGAAGCCAAGTGGGGCATGAAGGTCCTGATCAGAGTGTTCAAGTTCACCCGCCACCTCACCGCCCCATCCTCGATGACCAGATTCGTCAGGAGGAAGGACCGAATCATTGGGTCCTGATGGAATTGCACAATCATTTGCCTTTGTCGGTTGATACAGATCAATTCAAAGCTCTTGTTGTATCACCTAAAAATGTGTTACCACCACCAAATTTGGGTATGTCATCTTGAAGTGAAATCAGCATGAGCATCAAGCATCACCATAAAGGAACATGCATCTATACATAATATCCTGACCTTCTCATTATCCTGACCTGGGTAAGAGCTGATTAAAAAAACACTCTAGCAGGGAAATGCAAAATTGATCAAACCCATTCCACAATACCACTGCATTCACAAGAGAAAGAAATTCCCTTCTCATTCTCACCCCTGGAAGTCTCTTTCACTACTTCTTACACTGCATTATCCATTCAAATTATTCACTTGATACAGAACAAGCTTTCTGCATGGAGGTGCCCACACATTGTTAAATTACATTTTTGAACCAAAATGTGAATTCTTAGAGCTCATTCACATGTGTAAGTTGCACCTTACCACTAGGCACACCAGTATAAAAATGGGCTGATAGTTCTCTTTGCTATCTTAATGATGGCCCTGGGAACACTACAGCTATTTCCAGGTATTCAACACTTAAACTTCTTTGTTCCAGACTCACTACACTGAAGTTCAGCCATATAAATGCAACAATTCTGAAAGAAATGCAATAGTCTTCATAGACACTAGCCAAGGCTTTTGTGAAAAAAGAAGTTTGTCCCAGTGACTCCTTTTAGGTGAATTTCTTAAAGTTGACAAAATATACTGAAGGGAAGAATGAAATATATTCACCCTGTTTCCTCAGTCAAAGAAATCTGCATAATTGAATTTTTGCTCACCAATTCAGAAAAGTGGAATGATTACAAATCTATTCTAGGATGGGTTACTTAGAAGCATATATCGTAGTTCAGAACTACTTGCACATGTGAATGAGCTCAAACTTTTCAGCAGCTTAATGCACTCTAGAAAGACTATAAAGATGAATCAAGCAGCTGGGGAATGCAAAAAAGTGAATGTTGAGAAAGATTGCCAATAAGCCATATCACTTTTGAATTTAACACCAAATAGTAAGCCACATCCTTTCCAAAATCATTAACTTTGAAATGATATGTCCTTGAAGGACATACCGGTCCTCCAAAAGGCAAAGATGACTGATGGATCATGAAAAAATCCAGTAACCCAAGAAAAATTCACAAAAGAAGTAGTTTTGCAACTGATACATACATATTTACAAAGGAAATTTTTTAGATCTCTTGATATATTCAGGGAAACCTGTTAACTGCTATCTTAAGAATTCCTTCCGACTAATAAATTTTTTTTCACTGAAAAATCGGCTGAGCTTTCTTGAGCAGCCAAATATGAAAGGGCACAATTTGACTAAGGAGTGAGGTGACCTGGAAACCAGACAGTACTGCTGACAGGTTGGAGAAGGCAGGGATTTAGAGCAGTGCCTATTTGTGGTTGGGTTTTCAAACAACTTTGTAAAGCATATGCTAATTTTCTGCCATGTTCCAGAAATGGAAAAACTAGTGACATGAATAAACTCAGGCAGGAAAATTTTAAAACTCTTCTGCTTAAAAGAAAATTGCATAAAAATTTCTGCTTGCAAGTACATTCTGGGTTATAGTTACTCTTTTCATTGTTACAAAAGAGTTTATACAAAACTGATTAGAAAAAAAAGCTGTGACAGCGGCCATACTTACCATTATGTGTGCCAAACATAACAGAATGGGGAAATGCTTCAACCAGATTTACAAAGCAAAAAGGTGGTCTGATAAACCAAATACACTCAATGCTATATCAATAAAGAGCTAAAAACTCCTGCTTCAATCAATTTTACAAAAGAGATGCCAGAAGTTAAGCTTTGTGAAATGGTACTTCTAGCATCAGTCAGATTCACAGCAAAAGTAGACAAAACAAGAGCTGCATGCAAAAGCTTATCACCAATGCAATGGGAAGGTTAGCCATTGGCAGTGGACAGCAGGAGGGGTTTACAGGATAGAAGGTGCCATGAGGAACAAGCTTCCTCTTCACATATGAGGAAAGCCATGCAAGATGCTGCAATGAGAGACATGCACAAAAATCATAGAGTCCCACAAAATGATCCTCCAATCCAAATATAGAGCATTGTGGGGGTACATAACAAAAAGAGGGTTTTAATTGTAACCTTTTTCTTTATACCAATGCTATGTGTGATAGGTGACTTCTTGGTGATGGCAAAAAAGGGTGACTGTAACCAACATGCGACTTTCGAATTGGAACAAAATGCTATTAAGGTTTACATGATCCATTCCAGGATTGTCAAAACACTTGCTCACACTGAAGACTTTGTAAAAACAAACTGGGAAAAACCAGTTGAAGATTGCGAAATTAAATTTACAAGGAAGATAACTATGAAAACTTTCGTTGCAGTGAGGGGAGAATCTGAGAGCCTCCTGACAAGAAGAAAAAAGGTTAAGAATCATGAGATGAGAAGCAAGACTGTCAATTCTAAATATGCCCAATTGCACTCCCATATAGGTCTAAATGCCTTCTATGAAACCTACAGGTATGAAAAATAAGCCTAAAAATAGTGGATTTATTTTATGTTTCACCAATTATCTTTATATTCTGATGAAAACTAATTTCTGCAGGTGACAGTTTTGAGTAAGTTTCAGGCTAACAATGCCCAAAAACCTAACTAACAAAATGATCATATCTGAAGCAAAACAATAAATAAGACTGATGATGAGAAACTGCACCATTAACCTTTTGACTGCTGGGTTTTTATGGGCCTGTAATACCCCCTGTGCTGGGTTTTCCCCCAAAAATGCAAATTTCAGTTGTTCTTGATATTTACTTAAATGTGGAGCCATAATGAGTGATACATACATATATGATGTCCATTTAAGTTGTTAAATACCTGACCTGCGTTTGCATACGGATATTCGCATACGAAATGCGGAAAGTGCGGAAACACCATATGGCATCAGTAGCAGTCAAAAAGTTAAGTCTTGTAAGCTGAAATGTTAGTCTTTGTCTTGCTAAGTGACAAATACCTAATGCTTAATGTGCATCATAAAAGTCACAAAGACAAAGTTGGGTGATTTATATTTGCTCAACAATCTCATCTGAAGATGTCAACCCATTCATATGTGACCCTCAGAATGCTCAGTATGACAAACAGAAGGCATTCCTTCAAGAAAAGTTTTATGACTCTTTACACCCATCATCTGCTCCATGCCAATGAAGTTGACTTCTTTGGCTATGATGAGTGGAAGGACAATTCTTCAAATTTGAACAAGTGTGAGCACATGGTAGCCATCCTCAAGGACAGAGTAATGTTATGATGATGCACAAGCCACTGAACAGCCAGTTTCCAGTTGGAAGAATGAATCTCCATATTGAAAGTAGCAAAAAATTTTTTGAACACTGATCTCTTCTGCTCCCCCATTAACCCTTTGAGGAGTGGTTTTTAAAATGCCTAGAAAATCACCCATAGTGAATACATGCAGGGCAGGAGGATGTCAGCATGTATATATAAGGGTATACTCGTCAAAGGGGTAAGTCATGTGAGGGCAGACTTGTTCTTGTTCAAAATTCGAATGGTGTTAATACCAAGTTTAGAAAAATGTGTGTCTTCAGTAAAATAGTGAGAAAATCAGATCTGACATTGAATTTTTCACAGGGATTTGGTTTCATCTGCAGGGCAGAGCTGTCATTTTGTGAGACCCTGTACATGCAGAACTCAAACATAAAGATGCAATGGATTGTTCTGATGGCCCATTCTCTTAATTCCCCTCTGAGCTGTGCATTCCAGAAGAATAGTGGCAACTTGAAAGACTCACAGGAGCTACACTCGCAAGTTGCCTGTCGGCCTCCTTTCTAGCAAGGGCCAGGGAATTGTGATTTTCTATGTGGATGTTCTGCATTGTTTCCAGGAACTTGGGGATGGCCAAAAGCGTGGAGGTTCTCTGACTCAGTGGGGATACATCCACCACAAACAGGCTCTCCAAGAGCTTGGGCTGCATGTGAAATGGGCATAAAGTAACATGTAGGCCTACGAGGCCAGATTCTTTCTTACTTATGAGTTCAAGCAAATGTAAATTGGCAACAACTGAATACTCTTACATCATCTCTGATGGAAAATAAAGAAGCTTGTAATGCTGGATTTGAATATAATGAAAATACAAATGTAAGTTTGCAATCTAATTTTTTGAATGGGAGCTTCAGCTCACAATTTTTAAAACCTGCAGTCAATTCAACTGAAATTCAGGAAGCTGCTTCCACTATAGGAGTACCACTAGCCCATGCATGCTCAAAAGGATAGACTTTCTCCTCCATTGTATAAGAATGTAGAATTGGCCACCTAATCCCATGCTAAAGTCACAGAGTATGTTATGAGTCCATAAAGATCAGAATATGGCTGGAAGAAAGACAGAAGTCAACTCACTCAAATTCATACTTGCCCCTGACAAGAGATACTACACCAATCTCTCATTGGAAGGAGGACTTGCATTGAAACTGACAAAAAGCTGATAAAATATTAGTTTAACATAAAAAAAAAACAATTTTCATCATGGCCAAAGTGCAATATAGTTCTACTTCCATATCAATCCCCATGAAACTACCATTCATTCATTCATTATTATTATGCAAATCCCCACACACCAAGATGAACATCCAGGTTCACTTGAATGACCTAGCCACCATTACAGACAATATACCATTCTCCTTCTCTTCTTCCCATTGCCTTTGGATACCTGTACAAGTAGTACAAGTGTTTTTGCTATTTTCAAGATAATGAAAGTAATGGCATACACCCTCCCTCAATGACTGAGGGTAAATATTCCATTTCAAATGAGACTATCAATATGAAGGATTGCCATGTTAAAAGAGTGGACCAAATGATATCGCCACAATCACCAAAATGGAAAACTGTGAGATACATATACACATATGCTATTATCAATGTCTTCACTCTCAATCTTTCAAAGCCACCCATTGTCCATATAGCCCAGAGTGAAGTCCAATGTATAAAGCAACAAACTGTACAGATAGGATTATCCAGGAACATGAAGCCAGCAAATGGGAAGGCAGTTAGCAGGAGTGCACAAATGAAGAACACGTGAAGAGTTTGGGGCGACAAGATAGAAGGTGCATGAAAATAATCATTTCTCCCCTTGCATTGGTTTACAACCAAAAACTCTTTCCACAAAACTCCTCAAGTTGCCAAACATTTGTTGTTTCCAATCCCAAATTTATTTGCTGCCCCACACTGCGATGAAAGTAAACAATTTGTGACTGAAAAGCTTCCCTGATAAAGCTCACCATTTATACTATTTTTTTCTAGTTAGTTGATTCCCAAGTTTGCATAACACTGTCACTCAATTTCTGATCAACAACTGAATAGGAGGAACAGAGCCACACTGGCCAACAACAATCTGAAAATGCAAAGGTATGAATAATGAACCTTCACAATGTTCTACTGTATGAGAGAATAAGGTACCAAAGTATCTCATTCACTCAGAAAATTCACAAGTTTGAAAGGCAAAGATGACATGCAGAATGCATCAACATGTGGTTTGACATGGCACATCACAAGATAGAGAAGAGCATTCCACCTCCTGCACAAACCAAGGAAACATTCGGTGGGTTATGATGACATATACCTTGATGTTTAAGTTTTCCATCTGGAGGTATGCATCAAGCATCATGTCCTGCCTGGATTGGGTAGGATCCAAAGAGATGAATCGAATCCTCTTCATGTATGTTAAAAGGGTGCACCAATGCAGAGCTTCCCTCAGTGACATCTCCACGATGAACATATCATGAACTCTATTTGGCTGAACAACAGAGAGTGCTCTGATGTAAGAAAGGTATTGTGGCCTTAAGACAAATTTCCAGGAGCAGATGCCATTTCTCTATCACCTGGCAGACTCATTACTGAAACCCTAAAGACCATAATTTCCCATGCACACAAGAAATGAATTGTAATTTAAACAAGAGCTGGAACTATCCAACTGTGCCAATTAACACAAGATGCTACAGCATGAACAGAGAATTAGCCATTTTTACCTTTGTGAGGGCAAGGGCCATCATGGCACGACCACCCATGCTGTGGCCCACCAGCGAAGCCTGGTTGATCCCTAGATCATCCATGAGGCATTCAACATCTCTGGCCATTGCTTCATATGTCATCTCTTCTGTGTGGGGACTCTCACCATGGTTTCTTGCATCCACTGTGATAATCTGGAATAGAATTAATGTCAGAATCTGATTCTCATGCTGGTGCCCACTAATTTTTCATCAATCAGTAATATAAATGGATACTTATAAAAAAAAACACTACTTGCTTAATTTCTTACTGTTTTTCATGATACATACCTTCCCATGAGAATCATACACACTAATGCTTAAATTTTGCTCAATAGATATCCTCTTCATCATCTTTGCAGAACCCCTTCTCCAAGGGGAATCCACTCTACAGTTAGAGATATGGAGCTTAAGAGTAGGCCAACTTTTATATGATAAAAATAAAAAATTAATTAATTAATTAAAAAAATAAAAATTGACTACAAGAGCAACTATGTCCATAATGTCTCAAGGAATCAAAGCACAACAGGGCACACTTTTCTCTTGGTCCTACGATGAATCATCTTTGCCAAGGAGTTCCAATTGGATCTTGATCCCAGAAGGCCATGCATGATGATCACTGGTGCTTTCTGTTCTGATGGGGACAGACTCCATCTTGTGTCCTCATATGAGGAAAAAGCAAGTTTCACAGCTCCTTGCCCTCCTGGATCTCTGAGTTAAAAAATAGCATCAATTCCAATCAATTTTCCACTCCAAAACATGAAACATCAACTATACTTTGTTGAATTGTACCATTATGAATGATGAAGCTTCACATAATTCCTTAGATATCTTATATTGTGGTCTGAAAGGATAACTTCTCCAGGGATGAGGAAGTCACTATTAATGGGTGGCAGGCTACTAATATGCCATTGTAATGTTATGCATGATGAGGTTGCAATATGGAAAAATTGCAATTTAATCATCACCACAGAAGGCCTCATCAACATACTCTACAACTCATAGCAAAACATCAGATACATGAATGGAGTAGGTCAAAGATATTTAGACAGCAAGGAGAGTCAAAAAAACCCAAAATTATCAGCAAGGACAAAAAAGACTAAATCAGTTATGAATAGGTGTAATAAATAGTTTATTCATGGAAAGCTCACTTTTACAGAGGGGAATAGCTGGTGTCTTGAATTACTTCTCTGTAAGATAGTCCCTGATTCAGTCACACAAATTCCTGTAGCGAAGAATTCCTTTATAGACAATATGATGAAAATCCCAAGAGGCTCTATTTTTTTCTGGTAGACTGACCACTCTTAGCAAAAGGAACCCATTACATCAAATTAACATATGATTTTTAAAATATCCACAAACATTTGGTAAAATTAATCAAAATGAAAAGCTTCTCACAAGGCAGAACTCTTCATCAGTCAGCAAAAAGGTTGTTCCAGTGCAGTCGCTATTCACTTTAGGTACTTATTGTGAAGTTATTCATCGCCATGACTTCCCAAGTACCTGGCACTTGATGTCAGGATTAGTGAGCTCTTCTAAAGCTGCACTTGTCCTGCAAATCATCAAACTAATTTGACTCAGTTCACCCTTCCATCCTCTCATTTTCCAGTCATTTAGACAGCTTCAATCTAACCCTGGCATATGAATACACACATCTTATGAACCCCAACTAATCAGCAGGGTTTACTCCCTGGCATGAGATCAATGGTCAAGGACTTCAACTACATATCTATTGTATTTTAAAGCCTAGGGCATAGCTGCCAGTTCCTGCTAAAACTCACTTGATTGTTTGATGCTGGCTATCAGAGGATGTGGAGAGAAGGGCAGGACCAGGTCCAGGAATGGAACTGGGTTTGTGTCTCACAGGAAGCAGTGACATGAACTTGTGAATAGAACGTGGACACCCCTTCATCCCAAGCCTTAGGATAGTTGTAGGTTCATTCAAAGCATAAGTAGAGAAACACTTGAAAAGGTTTATTTGCAGAGTACTGGCCATATGGCTGTAGGCATGTATAATCAGCCTAGGGCAGATACTACAAAGAGGATATCTGAAAAATAGGAAAGCTTGAAAATTAAGCATTTCATAGTTTTCCAACTCACATTAATGCCAAAATTAGGATTTCTTTTTGCAGTCACACCATTTGCATCCATATGTATTTTTCTGAGGGTGCAGAGCACATAACCCAGTGGTCATAACCGCATCACTTCAACACTGCCCCTACCAGTCAGGACAGACCAGTGACCCACACAAACATAAATTTTCTTTCTACTCTCCTCTTTTCCATTGTTGAAATAATTGCAATGTTAGACAGCCATTGTGATACCATTATGCACTTTCCTCAAAATGCAAAGGTTAGGCTAACTGGCAAATTTAATGCTGATGTGGGATGTTGCTATATTGGGCTACATACCACAGGGTCAAGGAGGGAAGACATTGCTCATGAATGTCTTTGGACATTAGAGGGTGGCATGCTTAAGTTGAGTTGAATGAGTTAATTAAAGATGATGATGAATGTTTTTTTATGAACGATGTTGCTCAAGGAGAACTCAAGGTCAGTATGCCAGGGCTTGGCAAGGATGAATGTTCTGGAGTCAGGCAAGAACAGTAAGAAATTGACCCAACTATTTTCACATATAGTAGAAAATATAATACAGAATACATATTAAATGTCTAATTTCAAATCCCATGATAAATTATGACAAATTTAACACATCATGTACTTCCTTTACTTTAATAAGCAAACTAGGCAAAAAATTGGCATGTTTTTACATGAAGATGGGAATAATTTTTTTTTTGCACACATCAAGAGTTTGATACACTTTGATGAGAGCACAACCAATTTACTTTTTCATGTTTATTTCCGCATTAATTGTCCAACTTATGCAGGTTCAAAACTACCAATCTTTCATCTGCTGGAGAGGATGGAAAGGTTGTCGCCTTCAACCAAGAATGTATGCAACATTTCCCATCATAGATTTCTTTAAGCCTAATGCAGCCCCTAAAGCTGAGGCCAATAGGCTCTTGGGTTACGGATTTCTTATATATTTTATTATGAAACATCACGAGTCGAACAAAAGGGAAAGAAAAAAATAGGCAGAGTGTGAGCTGCATCTGCTCTCCTGAGCTCTCTCAGCAGGGGGTACGAAGATAAAATAAGCATTTCGCGTGTACCCTCTTGAACGTGCAGTGCTTCACAAGAAGCATCGTGACCTCAAGGTGACCATATGACACGTGGAGGCCGCCATGACCCCTCGGTAAGTGTTGCCGAGTGACCAGTATCGCCATTACGAATTCCTAACCTCGTGAAATCTTGCTTCTCCAGAAAAACTTTAACTGTGCTCACGAGCTAGGAAAAACTTAAATTTCTCTATCTGCTTATTACATTAATGGGTAGAAATGGAGATTTGCTCATGGGCAAGTTCGCAAGCAGTGTCAATACCGTTGAAGCGAGCCCCCTCCCTTGCACCAAGAACTGAAGAGGCCCCGCCCATTTCCCAGACCTTGCAACACCACGAAGCCGCGCTCTTGTATTCCTTAACACTAAGCTGGAGTAACCACTTGACGGAATAGATGGCGGGTAACTCCCGTTGGCTTCGATGCTCTCGTTATCATGTTGCGAGTATTTGCCCTGCTTTCCACGGCCAGGTAGTAACGACCGACCGGTCGAAATAACTCTTGGACTCCGCAGTCGGCCGAAAAAGATGATGAGGGGATTCACCCAAAAGGGAAGCAATTTCCGCACGGGTTACGAACGCATCAACGGCTTTGTGGAGCATGATTCCCAAATTCGCCATCATCTGGATGTGCGAGACTCCAGTTGGCGGAGTACTCGTCGGAGGGAGTGTCGTCAGCTGCTGGGTCCATCGCGTGCCAACGAGATGTTCAGCGAGATACTTTTCTCTCTCTCTCTCTCATTACCCTCTAATTAAAAAAGCAGAAAATTTTTAAGTGGAAGCTCCTTGTTTCGTTGAGTCATCGCATGTGTTAAGGACTCATCTGGCATAGGATGGTACTCTCAAGATAATCAGGGGTCTTTCAAATGACAGTATGAACACATTTCTTGGAATAACAGTTTATTCATTTTTTCATGAACTGATATCAGTATCAGAGGCGTAGCGAGGGGGGGGGGGGCGGCGGTTGCCCCCAGGAGCAGAACGGTATTTTAAAGGAATTTGAAACAAAAAAAGACTTCCGTGCTGTTCTGAAATACAGAAACGAATGAGAAAAAAAAAGGAATGAAATGAAGAGTTGAAGAATGGGTCGTATCGAGGCATTCTTCTGAATCCCTTGTATGAGAGTGGCCTCAATTCATGCGATACATTTGCTTCTAAGAAGCACCGAGCACCGGTGGTGTGCCCAGGAAATCCGAAAGGGGGGGGGGGGGGTTGCCATATGAAACATTGATTACCCACCCTGTATTTGTGGCCAAATTAAAAAAATTGTGAGAACTGGACCTGTAAAATTGACCCCAAATGGGGGGGTTATGACCCCCAAAATTCCCCCCTTGGGAACGCTACTGCCGAGCACAAATATCTCCACCGACCTTTCGTGCTCGTACGTATCGCATGCGTTCCAAGTTCACCATAAAGGGAACCTCCACGAGTACAGAGGACGAGAAAGTGCTAGTACGGGTAAGTCGCTCGAAACGCACGGGGAAATGCAATCGAGAGCCGACTTAGAAGCCATTCGGCACAGGAACGTCTCGGGTTTCCGAAGATCGGTGGCGGCATCTCCAACGAATTTTCCTGCGAAAGCGGAAAACGATCCGCCCACGAAGTCCACGCCGGCCTCGAAGTCCACGCCGGCCTCGAGAGGTGTCAGGGGATCGGAACGAACAGACGGCCGGAGAACGCGTCGAAGGTTTCCTACGAGTTCACGGAGTCCAACCGATGACTTAAACATTCCTTACCGAAAGCACGAGCGCGAGGCTCTTCCACGACCTTGCGCCGAATCCACGTTTTTTTCTCATGCTACGAGAAATCCATTCCTGGCGAGAAACGGTCGCTCGATCGCGAAACGTCGAGAACGCACCCAGAAGGAAAATCACCAGTCGTCTACGTCACGTCGACCTTATCTTCTTCTCGTTCTGTATTCTTTATCTCGGCGTCGAAAGTTTTCGATCGTTCGAGTAAAAGGAAGTCGGAGAAACTCTTCGACGACACGAAACCGAGACGACAGTCGATGCAAGAGCCATCTTGCATCTACTTCGCCCTCTGCGAAGGAAACCGAAGCCGATTTCGATGGAAACGACGAAGAGAACGACGGAGTCTTCCCCGTCGGAGCGGATCGAACCGGTTCGTCGAAGGCGAGCGAGAGACTTTCTCGAAGGGACCGGCGACATCAGAAGGAAACGAGTTAAACGTCTGGGAAAGCAAACATAGAGTCGATGATGAAATCCCGAAGACGGCGACGATGAACTTCCTCCGGATGAAATCGTGAATGCACTCGTCGATCTCACGACCGTTGCCACCCGGTCTTCCGTGCCACTGGGGAACTCATTACGGCACTTCAAAGCTTCTCGGCAATTCACCCAGTACCTATTACCAAAATGTGTCGGTGATATAGGGAGTACAACGAATTTTCCGAGAAGCACTAGTCATCAAAAGAGGTGGTTTAGAATCCCGAAGGAGATTACCCTGCGTACTGAAAAGGGATGGAGATGGGATGAATTCCTAAAATTTCTCACACGGCAACGCAAAAGAATTCCCTTCTGTCATTTCCCTTACCTCTAGTAGGACATTAGAGGAAGTGATATGCAAATTTGCATTGGCCTCGAAATGATATCAAACAGTTTATTTGCTCGAATACGATGGAGATGTACTGCCTTCAAAGTAGGGAAGGGGTGGTCGCTCGTGTTGCAAGGGCCGTCACGGAGTAACTCGCTTTGCAGGGCTCTATTTGGTGTCCGCGTGTGAGTGCCGAAGAGTGGCAGCTTCAACCAACGGGAAGGTCCACGTGGTGTCTGTTCCGACTCGCTTTACAGTCGCCACCCTTCGCTCGACGTCCAGTTGCAGAGACCGTAAAGATCCAACCGGTGCAGATCATGTCGGGTCTCGAGAAGAAAGTCATTCTCATCACTGGTGCGTTCTGTATCTTCATGGATTTCTTGTAGGTGTGTCCGTCGTCTTTGCAGGTATGCCCTGTTACGTTACCAAAGCATTGGGACGCTAAATCTCTGCGTTTCTATCACGATGACTTCACGCACTTTCATTGCAGGCCAATGGGCTTACCGACACCAGCAGAGCTAACGTTTCCGGGCTGGCATATCACGTACTGAACTCGTGTTCAAAAGGTATCCCAATAGGTGTCCCAAGAGTCAAAGCACCACTAACGCCATAAACCCATAGCGAAAGCCCTGTGCAAATTGCCACTGGGTTCATTCTTTCAATGCTGGGTCTACAGGCTTACTGGTAACAGTCTTCACTATAATTCCCCCTAGTGTTGCCACCTGTTCATAATTTGCATGGACAGTACATATTTCAGGTGTAATGTCCATACTGCAAACTGGTCCTAATATGGACACTTTTGTCCATATTTTAAACTTATTAAGATTCTTTAACTTAATAAAGCTTAATAGCTGCTAGTATTATTTTCTGAGTCAAGTGCAGTAGGCCACCCTCATAGTATAGGTGCCTTGTCTTCTCGAGGCTGTGGGTATATTTAGAATATTTGCCCGTATCGTGTTAAATTCAAAGGTGGCTACCCTAATTCTCTCCCATATCTTGTCGCATGTCTTCCCTGTTACAACTCTGGGCTGGAAAAAAAAAGAGGCAAATCCCTGTTCATGATCCATTGAGCCTCAGACCAGTGGTTCTCAATGTGCAATAACATCCTTGAGTGCTTTAAGCATTTTCTTGGTCTATTACCTGGCCTACCTCTGATGATTGATGCATATCAACCATGTCGTTTTATGTCAGTCTCTGCTTAAGGGACCTGGGACACATTTCAGGTATATCTCATCCCATGTCTTTACTGGTCATGCTTGTAGTATATTCATTCCCTGGAACCCCTGGAAGGGATTGATGTTTTGCTCTGAATAGGACTTGGTTTTCCATGCACTCACAATTTGTTTACTTATTGCTCTATTACATACTCCTGAAGTTATACATATTGCCACATTCCAAGATTTTCCCCCATAAATAAGATGATGCTTTCTTGTGTTCTCTCTGGTGTTTTCAAGGTTTCAAAATTCAGGATAGTCCAAGTAAAATTAATTAAGGGTTTGAAGGATTTTTCTTGAAATGGTTGTTGGTATGTAGCAGTTCATAATAAACCTTCCAACAAATGAATTTTGAGGTCCTGGATTTCAGTATTTTTTATTCAGGTGCGTATTATGGCTTCTGGAGGTCCAAAGGTGTGCTGTCACTATCTCATTGGGTAAATAATATGCTTTCTGTAATAAATAGAATAAAAGCCTCTTTGATGTGATCTTTTATTCTAGTAAAGTGCCTTAACCAGATGCTTTTTGTTTGAGAATAGGAATTATGGGATTGGCATGTTATGAATTTGGTTTTGTATATTTAGGAGTGATTGACAAAGTGAACCATGCCTGCCTAGACCAGTGGTTCTCAACCAGTATGCCACAGCACACTGAACACATGGATGTTCTATGGGAGTAAAAGGGAGATTGAGGAACACTGGCATAGACTATCATTCCCCTAGGGCATTTTCCCAAATATTCAGGACAACTGTCATGCAAACTTTGACCTTTCTCATATCCTGATTCACTCATGGATTTGAAGTTAAAGTTAAAGTATAGGTACCAGTACAGGAAAACCTCATTAATTCGATATCAGATAGTTTGAAGTATCAGATATACTTTGAAGTCATTTCTGTTCCCTGTCCAAGAAGATAGCGATTTGTATGCTTTGAAGCTTTGTATTTAATTCGAAATAGGGATACTATGAAATTTGAAGGCATTTTCTGGTCCAGTGAGCGATAAACTCAGAAAGAAATGTGTTCATTTACTTCGAAGGGTCCTCTTCCCTACGACCTACAAATGACCGGTCTGAAACCTCACACTCTTAAATGACTGCAAGCCAGCTAATTGCCTTGGAAACTTCATTTTTCTATTCAGAATATTTCTAAATATAGACTAATGCCCCCTTTCACTGAATCTCCCCCTCTACCCTTACCTATATGGTGCACACTTTGTACCACCTTCAGTCAAAAAACTTTTCATTGCAGCAGCACAATCTCTCTCTCTGTGTGTTTTAGTGAAACGGGGGTGAATGTACCATGGCAAACAAGAGGAAGTACAACGATTAAGTATATGAGAGAAGTTGGAAGTTATTTGTGAAATGGACAAGAAAGTAAAATCGAAGACCGATATCACAAAAGAATTCGGCATACCACTTTCACATTCAGCGTACAACCCTATCCACATTCCTTAAAAACTATGGCACCATTGAAAAGCTGGCAGAAGTTGGCCCTGAAACCAACAAAAGGAAGAGAATATGCGGTGCAAAACATGCGGATTTAGTACAGTATTACAAAATAACAATGGCCAAACCAAATAATTCTAACCTGCTTATTTCGAAGTCTGTATTTTTGGTCCCCCGGATTTTGAATTAATTATGTTTTCCTGTAGTTAATCAGGTAACTGAACAACTTTCCAAACTGATCACTGAAAGTTTGTTTCCAAAAACGACCATGATGCTTTCTTCCTAGGGAAGGAAATGAATTTTTTTTTAGCCTAGCAGAGGTGGCAGGGAAGAAAAAATGGAAGCTTGGCCTTTTTCTCTTGCTCTTACATGGTCATTCTCCCTTTTTTTTGTCTCCTGGTTAGCGAAAGAAATTCTTGATACTGCTCCCAACGTTGTTTCTGATTTCTGGTTCATTTCAACCCCTATCCTACTACTCCCAAACAAGTTGTCACTCCAGGGATTTTGCACGAAGTCCCAATCATGAATTGATTAGGTTAAAAATGATTCTGCTCATATTTAGTTTCCGTCATGTGAAGAGAAATACAATTGTTTCAGGTGCCAGTAGTGGGATTGGAGCAGGGACGGCAGAGGAATTTGCGAAGAAGGGCAGTTGGTTGTCTCTGTGTGGCCGGAATGCTCAGTCCCTTGCTGATGTAGCTAAGAAATGCCATGAAGCAGGTGTTCCTCAAGACAAGGTTGAAACCCCATTTTGTGTAGTCTTTGCTTGTTTACTCACTTTAAAGTTGTATATGTATATTTTTGCATCTAGAATAAGTCTCTTTCTGGATGTAATCGCCAATACTAATTTTGGCCCAGACATTGCTGCATGTTGATGCTTGGGTCTGATTGAAGTCGTTAGTTCCAGATTCATGTTTAGGTATGCATCAGCATGTAACAAGTCCAAGGGTAAAGGCCCAAGGACTACATGACAGGCATCTGGGTTTGCTGAGGAAATAGCATTGAATTCTGCTTCCTTTGGTCCAATAATGGTTAAAGATGTTTCCCCAAAAGTATCCCATGTGAGACTGTCATTCTGGAGCTTTAAGCTACTCTCCTGCAAAATTGTGAAATGTGATTTTGCTCATATATGCATCAGCCCTTCAATGGTCTGGTTGGTATAGACAGGATTTGGTTTACAAGGAGATGGGGAGAGAAATTTGGGAATTGAGTTAACCATGCATGAGGAGACAAAATTGCTAGGACTTCTAGAATTTTTTTTCGTGATACAGCCAAATATATTGTGAGCTGCAGCTTGGATATCTTCCATTTATGAATTTTAAATATATGCCTAAAGAGTAATGAAAGACTTTTCTGGAATATGTGTTGCAGATTCTGCAGGTGGTGGGAGACCTCTCCCAGGAAGCAGACACAATTGCTGCAGTGGAGAAGACCGTTGCTCATTTTGGTCGCCTTGATGTGCTGGTGAGCATATTACATTCCAGATTCAGTCATATAAGGGATCACAGTTTTTTTTTAAGGAGTGGTCCTCTCTGATATGTGCCCCCTTGAAAATCTTTCAGTTGTATGCATTGACTTTTGCATAAATGGCTTCTGGATCAGATCAGAACTCAAATGAAATCTGTGTAACAGGAATCAGAAAACCTTGACTACTATTTTTTTTTAGTTATTCCTTTACACCATATCCCAGCTTGCTTGCTCGCAGGTTCTCTCTCTGACAGTGGATGAATACCATTCTCTGCTCCTGATTATCATCTGATGTCCTGTCAAATGAAGACATTTACTGATGAATCTGTCAAAAACATGGAATATGAGTGAAGCAGGTCTCCACTCTAGGGGTCTATCCCCCTTTGCAGTCCTTCTGTCTTTCATAACTCCTAGTGTAGGTTTCTACTAGAGACATCTGTTTCAACAGATGAATTTGGTTTCATAATAGGTAGTATCCTAATTTGATCATGCATGTGTTGAAATTATCCTTAAATACTCCTAATGTCATTTGTATAGGTGAACAGTGCTGGCATCCTCACGACTGGTGGTTTAGAAGACCTCTCCCTTGAGGACTATGATCAGCAGATGAACATCAACACAAGGGCAGTGTTACACATCATGAAGTTGAGCCTTCCCCATCTTCTCAAGACCAAAGGCAACATTGTTAATGTCTCCAGCATCACAGGAATACGAGCTGTGAGTCTTGCCTGGTCTGACTTTAAGACTCTTCGTTAAAGTCAGGAGACTTGATATTCATCTGCCTATGATATTAAATTTGCCTGCACTCTAGTGCAAGAACTTGTGTGCTTGTTGAGCCTTTTCCTTTGTGCCATCAGAGTCTTCTCTAACTTTGTGTTCTTTTTTTTGTTCATAACATTCCTATGCATTGATTGTTTGCATTGTGCTGGCCATTAAGGCAACTTAATGTGACCAGTTGAGATGTCTGGTGACATTTTATAGATATGTAGATGTATTGGTAGTCTGGTAGGATGCAGCCATACCTCTTTGGTTGTCAGAAGAGGATGTCATGTTTTTATTTCATTTTAAATACAGGGTGGGGCATAAAGATCTCCCACATTTCGAGGGGGCACTGTGCAGGCTGTAGTGGGGGTAGAGAGGTGGGCTAAGTCTTATTCGGTAGGTTAGGCTCTACCGTTTTCAGTACCCATCATGAGTTGGACCGGTGAACATCGGTGCTTTGTTGTTCAAGCTTATTATGAGAACAACCGTTCTGTGATGGCAACGCAGAGAGCGTTCCGTACACTTTTCGCGCTCGGTCGAAATGCATGTGTACCAGATCGGAAAACGATTTTGCTATGGATTTCTAACCTTCGGGCAACTGGATCCACACTGATAAGAAAATCACCTGGCAGACCTAGAACCGTTAGAACGCCAGAAAATGTGGAAGCAGTAAGAGCATCCATTCAGCAATCGCCAAGGCGATCCGCTCGTAAGCATGCCGTGGCACTGGGGATATCAAGTCGGAGTTTGAGGAGGATTCTGCATGCCGATTTAAAACTGCATCCTTACAAAATGATGTNACGGTCACCAGATTTAAGCCCATGTGACTTTTTCCTTTGGGGATACCTAAAGGAAAAGGTTTTCAAACATCGTCCTCGATCTCTTGAGGATTTGAAGGAAAGGATCAGACAGGAAATCAACGCCATTCCGCCTGAGATAACCCAGAGAGTGATGGAGAACTTCCGGGAACGTCTTCAGCAATGTATTGCCAACGACGGCCGCCATTTGCCTGATATGATTTTTAAAACCCATTAAAACGAAACTGTTACTTATGTACTTTTCAGAAATATATGCATTTCTTTTTCTAGATAGCTTCGTTCATTTTTTATACCCCTTCAAAATGTGGGAGATCTTTATGCCCTACCCTGTACAACTTAAGTGGCTAACATAATTTTAAAGCTGAAAGTGCATCTTAATTTTTTTTACCATTATGCAGTCTCTCTGTTTTTCTTTTTCTACACAAAAATACTCTCATTTTTACTAACTACTACCCTGTGTTATAATAGGCCAAATGGGTGTCTACTCTACAATCATCCTAATAGAGTAAAATACTCAGTGATGACCTGTTTCCTATTTTGGGAGATATATGGAACAAGTGTTCTCAGCTCTCCCATAAAATAACTCCTGATAGAAAATGCCCATTATGCTTTTCTCTTGTCTGTTAATTTTAACATAATGTTTTCCTTAGTTTCCAGGAGTGGTGGCTTACAACATGAGCAAGGCTGCTTTGGACCATCTGACTCGCTCCGTCGCTCTAGAGGTGGCTTCACGGGGAGTCCGCGTGAATGCAGTGAACCCGGGGGTGATTGTGACTGATATCCACAGACGTGCTGGCATGGATGATGAAAAATATAAGGCGGTGAGTCAGATCGTCAATGCAAAGTTCCATCAACTATATCTCTCAAAAGCTAAGAAGAATGTGCACCAGTGCACCTGCAGGCAAAACAGGCCTTGTTTGGGTTGAATTGAAAGGTAATAGGATGACAAATAAACACTGCAAAACTTCTGCAATGGAAATTCTCATTCACACAGAGATAGTGCCAATTGTATATGTTTTCTCTTTTGGAGTTTCAGAGAAAGTTCTGGTTAAAAAATATAAGTTCATGGTTACTCGTGGCTCCTTGTGCCAGGTTTTCATCAAGTCCTGGGAACTCTGTTGCTATTTGAAGGAGGTATAACGTTTGTGCATTCATGTAACATCGAAAAGAAGTAAGACCTATGCCTGTATTATTTAAAAATGTCATCACTGGTGTGAACAGTTTGGGAATTAGAGCTTCTCTTGGTTTTATGTGTCTTGATTAATGAAGTACTACTACACTGGTTTTTGGATTATGTCATTTCTTTCAAATTTTGATTTTTGTCTCAAGTCAATTCAGTGGTTACTGGTGAATGCAATGCTTACTCAGAAATACCTGTCATCAGGCAGTCATTAGTGACTTTTCAGACATTTTTGCTAAAAAAAAAGGCAATTCACGTTGTCTATCTAAGTTATTCTTAGAAAATAGTGTGCCCAGTTTGAACCTGGAAACATTTTGGTACCCATTTCAGTTCCTGGAACATGGAAAAACCACCCATGCCATGGGCCGTGTGGGAGAGGTGAAGGAAGTGGCCAAACCCATAGTATTTCTTGCTTCTGATGATGCATCGTTCATCACCGGACAAATGCTGGCCATCGATGGTGGTCGAGGAGTCATGTGTCCTCGTTAAAATGGCTTTTGCTACTACCTCTGCTACAGATTTGAGATATTTCAAGTAATGTATCCATTTGGTTCTATCCAATGAGTATATTAAGTTTTTTTTATTTTCCTTTCATCAATAAAGTACCATCAGGGGTCTGCATGATGTCATTATTGCAGCTGAATATTCATTATTTGCCTCCTAATAAAACCCTCATAGATATTCTACTGGGAGAGCTACAGAGATCATGTGAAACTTTTTGCAGAATCGGTACGAGTTCAGAACCAATGTCTACTTGAAAGATAAATTATAATTCACATGGGTCATTCTGATGAGGCCATTAAGAAACATTGCAGTGGCAGAAGTGGTCACTTTCATTGTGAATGGGATGAGTTGCAAACAGATAATATGAAGCTAGAGCTGCACCAGAGTTGCACTTCTGCCAGAAGAGGGGAAGGTTTCAGAATTCTTCCATTTCAGTAAAATATGTAACTCTTGGTGCTTCTCTAAGGTCACTGCAAGGGACCGGCTGTATCAAATCTCTTAAGAATAGTGGATTCTAGGAATGATTGTACCTTTCAGTCCAGTACTTCCCACTTTGCAAAAGTCACCTCAGCGGTGCTGCTGCTGTCGAAAACAGAACTGCTGGACTGCACATAGTGTGAAACTGTTGCACCGTCACACATGAATATTTAAAATGGAACTCGAAAAGATATTTCGAGAATAAGGTATGGGGTTAACTGCAATTTCAACGGCTGAACGAATTTAAAGCTGAATTTCTTAGTACCGATTTTTTGCTGATTGTGCACCACCGAACGCCAATTTCGTCATGAAATAAGCGGACGTCCGGCCCATCCTTGGTATTACGAATAATTTTTCAAGATTCAAGATTGTGATCTCAAGAGGCCCTCATGACCCTCCACGAGTGATCCCTCTGACATCCTCAGAGAACGACCCGTCCTTCGCATTACAAATGAGAGGAGATATCTGGGCATGTTAGGGGTTGGGCCAAACCCATAGACTGGACTGTGGATTTGACTCGACAGAATATATTCAGATCATGCCATGGCCTCCCTCTTTTTTTCACAGAAAATAATCTCTGCCCACGACCTTCAGGCTGATTGAGCATTTGGCGGATTCATCTTGGGTTCGCGAAGCATTGCGGTAAGGTATGTCCTTAGGCCCATGATGTGCTTATATGGAGTTTCGCAAACATGTGGAAAATCAAATTCCCTATTCCGAAAATCAAAAGCATTTTTGACTCCAACATTAAGAAGGATGCTGCGACTATACTACACCTCACCGATCGACTTTTGTTAATCACTGCTTTAATCTCGCTTCATCCTATGAACTCAGCAGAAAATCATATTCCATGAAAAATAAATGACTCAGGGATCGAAGCGAAAAAAGAAGCAGCCACTCTCTGAACCTTTGTTTCTATCCTCTATGCTATCAAAAAACCCAGGGTAAGTAAAGGAAAATACGAGAATGAATTTCCCAGTTGCTTGAAAGGTTTACTCTTTATCTCGATGGGGACGTGAGCGTCTTCAGGATGTGAAGATGTCTGTTGCTGTCGCAAGACTATTCTCCGGACGAAAATGACCGGTGAGCGAGCATATGCAGTGATGCTGCGATGCAACAGGAATGCTCTTCACCTGCAAGATGATGAGGAGGATAATCTGAAATGACACGCGAATTTACTTCATTCAGGAAATGCCGGAATGTATCCGAATGTATTGCCAATCCACGAGAAGGAATCCATTGGAGAATCCAAGAAAGCGACAAGAAACGGCAGTGTGTGTCCGTCGGATCATTGTGGGAAATCCGCTTGATAGACTCCCATAGGGTGAAAGAGGAGTCGAATGTAGGCATGGAAACGTTGGACCTAATTGTCCGTGAGAACATCCCTCCACCCGCCGACCACTCCTCTCCTGATGAATGGAGTCAGGCCGTAATTGCTGCCGTCCTCGAGCGGAGGCTTGACAGCATCCTCGAAGCGCCAGAGGCCCTGGAGGCTGGGCGGGAATCTCGTCCGCATGTTCTCTAGCTCGGCGTCCTCGGCAACTTTCATCACTTCCACCTCCGACAGCTCGCCCTTCCCGAGAGACTTCCCCAGCCTTCACATCGCGCTCCCTGTATCCTGTAGTAAAATTCGAATGAGTTACCTCCTCCAGATACATAAAATCTAGATACGTGACACTGTGAACAATTTATTATTTAAAATTCCTGAGAATCCTCAAATTTCCTACATGAAATTTAGTTGCATTTTTGTCTTTCTGCCGGAAAAAATAATGGTAATTTGATGAGATGAAATAATGAATTTCTGTTGCTCAATGCAAAAGAAACGTTAACTGTATTGTTGACTAAGAGATAGCATTTGATGCGATGCGATGATGAGTAAAAATAACACAGGAGGAAACTGTTTTAGGAGCGTGTTGATCAGTTGTGAAGAGCAGATATTCCAATCAAAAATACAGATTTGACTTTCCGGTCAGCAGTGCATGTGTGGCCATTGATCGGCTTGTCTGTGGAAGCTGTGACGTTTCTGTAGCTCTTCAGAGGTTAGACAATCTTTGGCTCGGAATGGTCTTGCACGCTTAGCCCACGCTTGGCGGATATGAATGTTTCACTCACTAGTGCAATCCGACTGAAGATCAGTAAAAAAAAAAAACCATGGAAATACGTTGATGAGAACCGTACGTATCATTTTGATGATGAGATGCATAACACAAAAATGACCACGAAGACCCAAAAGTGTGCCAAAGTTGCTCTTTTTTGTTTTTGGGAAATGTTGAGGATTTCCTCCTTGCCAATAAAGAAAGGTGTGCTTCTCGTTTTCCCACAGTACACAATGTGACTTCCCTTTTCCCCTGGAATCGTCCGTCACAGGAGTGTTTCGTACTTCACCATATACCTCGCCTAATCTCATTATAGAGATCAATAAATGCGGACACTATCATTTAATATTCCCTTATTTGAAACAGATTCATGGAGCCCAGGATAGAAAGAAGCTCCTATTCCCTATAAGAATCCTTTACTTAAACGGTATAGGGAAATCTCATCCAAAAGGAGTTCTAGAACAGGAACCTGTTCGCGGATACACTTCCCTAAGATTCATGGAGCCCAGGATAGAAAGAAGCTCCTATTCCCTATAAGAATCCTTTACTTATACGGTATAGGGAAATCTCATCTAAAAGGAGTTCTAGAACAGGAACCTGTTCGCGGATACACTTCCCTGGGTCCTTTGTCCTGAGGTCGGAATGAGGAAATTAGGAATTGAATTCGTGTATACTCATTGGAACATCAAGGGATGAACCTTTCCTTGAAACGTACTATAATTAGAACTATGATTAAGTTGCTGCAGAAAAAGCGAAATATGTGAAGTAGCACATGCATACACCTCATTCGTACCACGCTTGCACATGTATATACACAATAATGGCTCTGCTTCAGTCACTGCCCAAAGCTAAACGCTGCAACCCGTATGTGCCGAATCCTCGTTTATAATATAGTTTCATACATTTTGTGATACTTCGTATAATGAGACCTACACTGCAGTCTGTGGCACCTGTCTGGGTAATTGAAAGAGTATAGGAGTAACTACTCTTTTTCCTTCAACTCGAGGAGGGCATTCTCGGTCACGGGAGGGTGCACGTTCCACTGGGGACCCCACACGTCTAGCGCATGGGACATGCTCCAACAAGTTATTCTGCTGGAAATATTCCGAAGCAGCCGTTGGTATTTAGAAAGGACAAAAACTCCAGAGATGCAGGGAATCCTGGAGGACTTGCACTGCAAACATTACTCCGACCAAATCGTATTTAAAGCCATGGAGTTTAAGCGCGCAGCTTAAAAATGCAAGAAACATATTGGGTCGCTTTTGGTCAGTATATAAAAGTTGGGAATCCATGAAATCGATACTCACCGATACCATGAAGGTGATAGTCGATGAAATCGTCCAGGTTCCCCGTGAAATGGGCGTAGACCTCACGGTGAAAGTAAGAAATACAAACGACCTTCGGGTTCCTTGCCCCGTAGATGATCTGTAATTGTTTCGTGCCAACTTGACAATTACGATGAAATCGTCCAGGTTCCCCGTGAAGTGGGCGTAGACCTCACGGTGAAAGTAAGAAATACAAACGACCTTCGGATTCCTTGCCCCGTAGATGATCTGCAATTGTTTCGTGCCAACTTGACAATTTGCGAAACGTTCACTGACTGAAGCAACTCCTCTACAAGGACCCAGTCGAACTTAATAAGGTATCGAGGCAGCCATTGCCAAAAAGGCTTTCGAAGAAAATTTTGCTGCCAAAATCGTAATGGCATAATTTAATCTCCACTATATCTCTCCTTCAGAAACTTTTAGAGAAAAATCAGGCGAAGGTTTCAATTTTATAATCGTGCCATTAAATAAACGCGACATTTGCTGTCCATTACCATTACCTCCGGATGGAGGAGGGTGAGGGAGAGATGGGACTTGATTTGGGGTGACGGAAGGCCCTCCAGATGTTTCGACACGTTGCCTGGCTTGGGATAAGCCTTGTGAGCAGATTTCACTGGACCCGGGAGGAGTTTGAGCTCGGACAGATCCGGCAGGTCCTCGGGCGGCACCATGGGGTCCCATCTACGAGAAGCGAGGGTCAAATAACCATTCTTCGTACGGGCTTGTGAGATCTAGCAAACTGAGGTATGCATACTCGTAGAAGGGTGATCGACTGCTGAAGTGCGGCAATTCCTCGGCCTTCTTTATTTCATCATAATTGAGGACCCCCCATGTTAACTAATGGGCCCATGTTGTGCCTGGGTTGGAAGAAAAGTTGGCGAGACTTCTAAAAAATTAGATTTCTTTGTCTTATAATGCCTCCAGAGGTTACGCATTTTCTTTTTTAGGAAATTGAGAGCAATACTGGATGGGCACGGGAGAAGTACAGCGATGGATTATTTCATCTCATGGTTTTGACCTGCCTGATGAATGTATACAAATTTCTCTTCTCCTACTTGTTTCGTCTCTTTACTCCTACTCTTCGCCGTCTCGAGTGTGAAACCGATGAAGCACGTGCCCGTGCGGGACGGGAGCGAATGAAGTTCCCGTCCAGGGATACTGCGCCTCCAATCTCTACACCAGAGGGTCGATCCGGGGGTGCAGCGTTTCAA